CAGGTGGGCACCTGGGCACAGCAGCAAGAGGATGTCACTTTTGGATCAAACTTCACCAAACCCACTATTTTTACTCCCTATTTGTCATGCAGAGAAACCCTGAATGGTTTTTCCCCCTGCACCTCTGTTGGTGCCCCACAATAACCGGCTTCTCCCACTGGGAGATACCAGACACCCTGCCTGGCTTGTCTGCCTCCCGTCCCCTGCCCAGCGGCAGGACTGTCTTTGTGCAGAGGTCACCTGGGAGACGTCCTCATCCCAATAAAGGTCCCTTTTACCATGAGCTGGCAGTTTGGCTCCCAGCACCACCTCATCCATGCTTGGCAGGAACGCAGCAGCTCAGCAAACCTTTTTTTTTAAAAAAATAATTCCTGAATAAAAGCAAGTTTCTGTCTCAGCCTCTTGTAGAGATCAGATGGAAAAAATTAGGGACACCAGGAGAGCGACCCAGGCACCAGCCACTGAGCTCTGCCTCCCCTTCTTTTCAGCAATAGGTTTTTGGTAACAATACCCCCTGTTAGCTCAGAGTGCAGAGCCCCTCAGTGTCACGCTGCCACCGCCACCTCTGTCCCCTCCTGGCAGCTGGGTCCAGCTCCTCTGCCAAAGCCATCACATCTGGGGCACAGCTGGATGGGGCAAGATGGGAGGACACAGCAAAGTGCTCTCACCCACCATGAGGGCCACAATGTCCCCAAACCTCAGACTTCTGCTTTTTGGTTTTTATTTTAACCCTATTTCCTATTTTAACCCTATTAACCCTTTTCCCCTCTCCCCATAGGTCCCCGACCTTCGCCGGCGGCCTCTTTGCCATCTCTAGGTCCTACTTTGAGCATATCGGCTCCTACGATGATCAGATGGAGATCTGGGGGGGTGAGAACGTGGAAATGTCCTTCAGGGTAAGAATGTGTTGGTGCCATCTTCAAAGGGCATCTTCAGGGATGCTCCATGCCTGGGGGCACAGGAGGGGTTGGAGCCCCACATCTCAGGCGTTGCCTCCCCATAGGTCTGGCAGTGTGGGGGTCAAGTTGAGATCATCCCTTGCTCCGTTGTGGGTCATGTCTTCCGCTCCAAGAGCCCCCACACCTTCCCCAAGGGCACCCAGGTCATCTCCAGGAATCAGGTCCGCCTGGCTGAAGTGTGGATGGATGACTACAAGGAGATCTTCTACCGGAGGAACCAGCAAGCTGCACAGATGGCCAAAGAGGTACCAGCCACACTGGTGGGCTTTTGGTTCTTCTGGGGCTCTGATCCTGCTGGGAGCCTGACCAGAGGGAGGAGGTGGGCTCAGCCTGGAGCTCAGAAAGTGAATGCAGGTGGAAAGATGTAGCCAAAGCTTTATTTTTCTTTTTTCTATTTGGCCATAATGTTCTCAAGTAGAAAAACATTTAACGCTTTAAAAAATACTTTTACACCTCCAAACGTTGTGCCAAAATGTTGCTGCCCTCAGTGGGTGGCAGAGCCTGAGGGCACCTGCCAGGACCAGGGGTGTCGTGCAAGACCCCAGCGCCAGTCTCGGTCCTGGGCATGCCATGATGGAGGATGACAAACCCAGGAGAACCCCTCAGCTCTGAGCCCCAGCTGGAGAGGGCGGTTTTTGTTTTTCCTTTGCTGGCTTCAGAGGTTAGTTTAATTTTCTCACGTGGCTTTGTTGATAGAAGACGTATGGTGACATTACAGAGCGGCGCAAGCTAAGGGAGCGGCTCCACTGCAAGAACTTCACCTGGTACCTCCAGACTGTCTACCCAGAGATGTTTGTCCCTGACCTGACTCCAGCTTTTTACGGAGCGGTAAGAATGAGGGTGCCCAGAGCATCCTGGTGGGCTTGGTACTTGGCTAGAAATAGCCACAACAGTGAAGCCCCCAAAAGGTTGGGTCTGGGGAGTGCTGCATTTAAACAAGCCCGAATGGGTGTGCTTGGAGGGTTTTGGTGCAGCTGCATCCATCAGCACGTCTGTCACCAGCTGGAGGGGCTGGTTCCAGCTTGGGCTGAGAGTGAAAGAGCTGGAATCTGGCAGAGCTGGTTTGTGATGACTTACGGGGTGGGGGACTGCAAGGACGTGGCACTGGGTAAATTGGGCAAAAGTGTTAAAGCTTCCGCGAGCACCGTGCCGGCTTTGGCAGCACAGGCTGGGCTGGAAGAACCGAGCTGGGCACGGGCAGAACGCAGAGCGCCGGCTCTGTCCCCGAGGACGGAGCTGCCACAAAAGCCCCTTTCCTCCCAGCCGGGCTGGCCAGTGTCAGTGGAACCTGCTGCTGCCAACAAGTTTCCTGCAGCAAGTGGGGTCACGTGAAGCTGGTTGAGGGCAGAAACATGCTCTGCCACCTGTGCCAGCTGTCATGGCATTTTGGCTTCATCTTCTCCATCAAATGCAGAATAACGTGTGTTTGCTTGGAGTTGTTTAGCGAACCTGGGAACCTTGGGTCAGGGAGGTGGTTCTGCCCTTCTGCTCTGCTCTGGTGAGATACCACCTGGAGTACCGTGTACAGCTCTGAAGCCCTCACCACAGGAGAGACATGGAGCTGTTTAAAAAACGAGGGCACCAAGACCTGCCTGGACGTCGGGGAGAACAACCACGGTGGGAAACCCCTCATCATGTACCCCTGCCACGGGATGGGGGGCAACCAGGTGGGCATGCATCAACCCCCAGCATTTCCCCTCCCGCAGACCCCCTGTCTGTCCCCTGGGGGTGACTTTCTCAGGGCACAGCAGCACAACATCCCCTCTCTGGTCTCGCCCCCAGTATTTTGAGTCCCCGAGCCAGCGGGAGCTGCGGCACAGCCGGGCCGGGTGTCGACCATCGAGGAGTGGGACCTGGCACAGGTGAGGAGCTGCATCTCCATCCCGGGAATCACCCAAGGGATGGTGGCATCAACCTCCCATGCTGATGCTTCTCTGCCCTTCCCCTCGCTCGCATCCTTCCTTCATCCCGCCGGGACTGCTGAGCTGATGCTGTCTTTGTTTTCCGGCAGGACGGGCTGCTTAAAAACCCGACCTCTGGGATGTGCTTGACAGCACGAGGGAAGCACCCGGCGCTGGTTCCCTGCGACCGCGCCGACCCCCACCAGCTCTGGTCCTTCACCTAGACGGGGAGCAGAGCAGCCCGAGCCCCCGGCCACCCCCAACTGTGCTCAGGAAACCAGAATCCAAAAAACCTTCTCTTTTCTAATTTAAGAAGTGAAAGCCTTAAATATGCTGCATTTCATGGTTGCCTTGAACTCAGTCCCGTGCCTTTGGAAAGGGGAAGCCTGGAGAGCCGAGCTCGTCCAGCAGAGCCCAAAACCCGTCGGTCACGGAGGTGCCTGCGGATGCTCTTTGGAACCGGCTGCTGCTCCTCCTCCTCCTCCCCGGCTCCAGCCAGAGACTCATAAATTCCTGTCGGGCATTTCAAACCACGGCTGTGCCGCCCCACGCCTGAAAGCTGGGGGGAAACTCCTTCCAGTGATGAGGACAGCTGGCTCGTCCCTTGGGAGGGTGGAACGTGATTTGTCGTGGCCCTGGGTGGGTGGGAGACCCCTCAGCTCTGCTGGGGACCCTCCTTTGCCCACCATGGCACGGCATCCGGAATCGCAGCCACCGCAATGGGAGAAGCCTGTCTGTCTGCCTTAGGTACCAGGCCTGATTTGGGGCAGAAATTAGATGTTTACTTTTTTTTTAATTCTTTTATGATGACAATTCCTTGGTGTGACTATTCGGCCTGTGCTGATCTGCAGGAAGGTTTTCCCAGGACTGCACGGCTCGATCGTCCTGCCCTGTCCTCCTGAGGAGGCTCCACCTGAGCCCAGGCATGAGATCTCCTCCCTCTCCTGTTTTATTTCCAAGTCAGACTACTGTAGCTGCCACTTTTGTTGCCATTTCATTTATTGTGAGGATGGAAAACCCCTCCTAGCAGTGGTGTGGAGGTGGAACAATCTGTCTTTGGATACCTGACCTCAAATAAAGAGATGATTTATTTTATGGACATCCTGTCTCTGGCTTCCTCCAAGCTCCCACCCCTCCTCTCATTTCATTTCCTTCCCTCTTCTTGACCTAGAAATTCCCTTTTGCAGCCCAAACGGGGATTCTAAACCACTTTTCCAATGAGACGTCAGATTTGGGATCAAGTGGTGCCAGGGCAGGGCAGAGGGCAGTGCTGCTGTCCTTCACTGTGTTCCCTTCTGCAGATGTTTGGGATGAAGTGTTGCCAGGGCAGAGACTTTGCTGCTGTCCTTCACTGTGTTCCCTTCTGCACTGATAAAGCACTTCAGTGCTTATTTGGACACCGTTTTACTAGCAAAATCTTGTGTTTTCCATAGAGATAAGAGCAGAAATGTTGCAGGTGGGAAATTTCTTTCCTTTTTTTTTTTCCTGAACTGGGTGAATTGATAATCACCACTATCACAAATGCTGTTTCCCCCAAGAACAGCCTCAATTTCTTTTCAGAGGAGGGAGATGGAATAGAACAGTTTTGGCCAGAAATCAGGTTTTTATCACACACCATGCTGATGTTTCAAGCTCAGAATGCCCCGTGTAGGTCCCGTCCAGTCCCTCCTCCAGAGCCACCTGCCCTGGCTGGGGTGGGTTTTCCTGGAGGGTGGGAACATCATAACATGCTTTTGCCTCCATTTCCCCATCCTGGGGCTGAATTACTTCATGTGTGGGACAAGGCTCTTGGAGACATCCTGGAGATAAATGCAATGGCAGAGCCATGTCTGGGGCTCCCATGGGGCTCGAGACCAGGAGCAACTCCCGGCAACGCTGCCCGAGATCTGCAGAACATGCAAGAGAAGGGAATTGTCCCCTGGGAATCTGGACTGCACATCCAAAGCCAAGGGAGACCTGGAGTGCACCCAGGGGTTTTCAGCCCTGACCTTCAAAGCCATGTGTGTTTTGGAAGACGCTCCAAGGCTGCTCGATAGGGCCGTGGCACCTGCTTTCCTTCCCATCCCTCCTTCTCCGGCCCCTTTAAAGCCGCCGGCGGGGCAGCCCCGCTGCAGACAACGCGTCGCCGTGGTCCAGGATGATGCTGCAGCTCGTGCTCCTCGCCGCCCTCGCCCTCTGCGGTGCGTCCTCCGGCGCAGCCCTCGGCCTCCTTACCTGGGGACGACCCCCGGGCTCTGACTCACTGCCCCACTCTCTGTCCCACAGGTCGCTGCTCTGAGCAGGACCTCGATGGGATGCAACGGGTGGTCGGTGGGACCGAGGCACGCTCGCACGCCTGGCCCTCCCAGGTGGGTCCTTCTTGGGGTCAGCCAGTGAATCCCCTGGGGGCCTCATCATGCAGGGAGATCCTCCTTGACTCGCTTCTCCCTCTCCCTAGATCTCCCTCCCAGGGATCATGCAGGGTGATCCCCTCTGACTCGCTTCTCCCTCTCCCTAGATCTCCCTCCAGTATGCCTCTGGTGGCAACTGGTATCACACCTGCGGAGGGTCCCTCATCGACAGAAACTGGGTGATGACAGCAGCCCATTGCGTGACTCGGTGAGCAAGAGCAGGGCCCCACCCTCCTCTTGTGGAAAAGCTGTTTTCCACCAAAAACCTTTCCAAGGAGAATTTTGGACTGCCTCAGCCCAAAGAGCAACAGTTCTTGAAGTTCTTTGCTGGACCTGCATTAAGGGTTTACATGGACCACCTCACATGGCCCTCACCCAGACCATGGAGCGTCTTCTTCTGGCATGGATCCTTTCCATACCAGCCCACACTTAAAATAATAAGAATAGTAATTTGTGGCCTGATCTTGTGTTTTTTCACCTTTCTGACAGTCAAATGAACTTCCGTGTCGTGGCTGGTGAACACAACCTCAACGCAAACGATGGCAGCGAGCAGATCTTTGGTGTGAGCAGGATCATTATCCATCCCTACTACAACAGCAACAACATCGCTGGCGGGTAAGGCACATGGAGAGGGAGATGTGGGGGGAGCATGGCTGGGTACGGGGTGTCCTTGCAACATCTTCTTCCTCCTCTTACCAGCTACGACATCGCCCTCCTCCGCCTGTCCGCCTATGCCACCCTGAACAGCTACGTGCAGCTGGCTGTGCTGCCCAGGGAGGGAACCATCCTGCCCAACAACTACCCCTGCTACATCTCGGGCTGGGGTCTGACTCGCAGTGAGTGCCCACGGGTCGTCCCGGCCCTCAGTCACCAGCAAATGGGGGAGCATGGGGAGATGGGGGATCTTTTCAAGCCCTTGGAGATCCCAAGAGGCACCAGACAGGGCTTCTCTCCCAGCATAGGGATGCCCAAAATGGGGCTGCTGTGGGGGGACCCTCGGAGGCCGCCGGCTCTGCTCGGCTC